CCTAAACCCTAAATCCCGAAACCCGAAACACCAAACCCGAAACCCTAAACCCTAAACCCGAAACCCTAAACCCTAAACCCTAAACCTAATTAAGCCTAAACCCTAAAGCCTAACCCTCCCCGGATGCCCAAGAGCCCTGAGTCTCGTGCATCACCTTAAACATGAAAAGCCCCTTCTTTGCTCATACAGTTCTTAAGGGAGGGTGGTTCAAGGGTGGTAGGTAACATAGGGGTCGGAATAAGCACTAACATTCCCGTATGGACCCTTTGTAACTATACTACAATAACCCTTAAACCCTGTTCTAATGGTTCAGGCCCCTATAGTAGCCCTAAACCCTAAACCCTATTCTAATTATTCAGGCCCCTAAATTAGGTACCTAGGAAGCCTTAGGGAAGCTTTGGCTTAGGTCATCTTTGCCTGACGCGGCCGGGGGGCGCAAGGCCTACACCCGTAACCCTAAACCCCAAACCCTTAACCCTAAACCTGCAACCCTAAACCCTTAACCCTAAACCCCAAACCCTACGGCGAAGTCATGGGACCACGCCCAACTTAAAGAACTGGCTACCGATGGCATTCAGGGTCGCGCTTACGGTTTAAAGTTGAGGGACGAAGTTGCAGGCAAGAACTCCAGCACTTGTCTCCTGAAGACCAATACACAACAATAGGGCCTTGTGAACGCTCTAATGCTGCTCCCTTAAGTTTGGCCACTACTGCGTGCTGAGCCTAGCCCAAGATGAGTTCTCCGACCCAAGCAACAGGCTCGGACGCGAGGAATCGCGCAGACGCGTCACCGCTGCCGGGGCAGGCGCCGGGGGAGTGGAGGGGGCCGTAGGATTCGGGAAGCTGGTCCAAAGCGGAGGACGCGCCTACGGAAGCTTTCGGAAGTTGAGGGGACTTAATCTCAAGCAGTGCCACTTAAAGGGATCAAAGGGAGGAGGAGAACCTCGAATACAAGCAGATATGCAGCTTCAAGCGACTCAACCCTAAACCTACCCAAAATGGCGCCTGATTCTGGAGTTGCTTCTTCTTGCCTTGTAAGGGGTTTCGGGAACCTGACAGGCTTCCACGTGCACCCTTTTGTCTCCTACGGCCTGCGGTCCCTGTCCTTCTTTAAAGGGTTCTGAAGTATGGCCCCTTGGGTTTTTTACAGGGTATGTAAGGGATATAGTTCGAGGTCAAACCCTAAGCCCTAAACCCCAAACCCTAAACCCTAAACCCTAAACCCTAAACCCTAAACCCTAAACCCTAAACCCCAACTCAGTGAGGAGGATGGGTCTGCCAAGCTGCCCCGCTCCTAGAGATTCCGTTCCATGCAACAGCGCAAGGGACTGGAAAATCGGGAGGGTTTAGGGTTTAGGGTTTAGGGTTTAGGGTTTAGGGTTTAGGGTTTAGGGTTTAGGGTTTAGGGTTTAGGGTTTAGGAAAGTGGCCCAGAGGGCTTCATTTGTAGAACTATGAATGGAGTTCGGCACCCGAAAAAACCCTATTTCGTATGGTTTTGGGGCACTCCCCTAATTTCATAGGAGTACTACAAAAGGACCCCCCCTGAGTGGGTTTTGGAGGCACTGAGGCTTCAGGGTTCAGGTACGCCCGAAGGTTGGGACCATGGGGCCCTTAGTATGGTCCATTACCCTTGTTCAACGGGACTTCAAGGGATCCGAAGTAATGTATAGTGTATATAAGGGTGAGAAGAAAAAGGGGACCCAAATTAAGGGCCCATACGTCGGATCCCTATATGTGTACCTTATTTTGTCCCTATACAGCGACGTAGCCCCTAGATTACAACGCCCTCCTTTAGTCCCTTGAGTGTGTGGGTTGGTTCTTGGGCTTTCGGTTGTTCAGCGGGTTGGCTTTGGAGTTTACGGTTTGGGGTTTAGCGTTCAGGGATTGGCATTCGCGCTGTTAAAGCAGAAGAGGGGCGTTTTTTGAAGCAAAACCTCCTTCTTTTAGGCCTCTTTCGTTTGGTTTTTGGAGGGCTTTCGGGCAGAAGATGGCCCAACCGGTGCGTTGTTTGGTGCTTTTTCTCTTTTGGGGGGGTGGGCCTTCTAAAGGGATTGTACGTTCTCTAGGGTAAGTACCGGGGGACGAGATACCCCCAAATTCTAACCGGATCGAAGAGACAGAGAGCCACGACACCTCCACCCGGGACCTTCACACATCGTGAGGGTGTGGAGACTGTAGGTTTGGTCCCTGACCCCCAAACCCCTAAAACTAAGCTCTCCCTCGTCCCAAACCCTAAACTCTAAACCCTCGTCCCAGGACGCTACACCTGGTGAACATTGGGCGCTACAGCACCCAGGCACGATGAGGGTTAAGGATGTAGGAGGGTTTAGGGTTTGGGGTATTGCCCTGAAACCCATAAAGCCGAAGCTCTAAAGCCCCAAAAGAAAGCCTTCTCGACCCCTTTAAGATGCCAAACCCCTGAACCATGAAGTCTAAACCTAAATCTACAGGGAGACTTTCTGCTTTTTTCTGGAATTCTGGAGGGTTGGGTTGAGGGCGGCGGGACAGGATTTGGGGCTCACGGTGCGTGGCCTTTGTGTGGTTTAGGGGATCTGTCGGGTTTAGGGGAACTTGCGAGGCCTTGGGAGGCTCGGGTTCAGGGTAATTGTGGTGGGGGGGTTACCCGGGCTCACAGCTTGCGGGCCTAGGTATTGCAACGCTGACGCAGTTTCGACAGAGCTAGACCTTCTCAAGTGAGCCTACACCCTAAACCTAAATGGGGGTTTCCGAAATTAGGGGTACCCCTTCTATACCCCAAATAGAATGTAATCCTGAATCCTGTTGAAGGAACCCCCAAAAGGGGTACCCCTATTTTCGGAAACCCGCGAATCCTAAACGGCTACTTCTCATGCGGACATGGCCTGCGGCCGCCCTGGCCTTTGCCAGCACAAGCTTTGTCGCCCAAGCCCAGAATTCTTCAGACCTTGTTTCTCAGGGATTCTTCGGAATAGTTTTTGGGCACTGCAATTCCTAAGAAACAGCTAAAATTATAATTTGTTGCTAGGGTTCCAAGTTCAGTATAGGTTTCCTGTCTCCATTTGCCAAAGCCGCCTTGTGAAGCGGGAATCGAGGTGGATTGCAGCAGACCACACCCATCGCCAAGCATATCAGCTTTTGAAGTGGTGGGTACCAACCAAGACAGCTGGCTGGCCGTCTCTGCCTTGATCGCCTTGATCGTCCTTTCTGTCCGTCCAATAGCATACTATGAAGGAGTCAGCTCCTTCGCTCTTGTGCTGGTGTATGTTGCCAGCAGCACCCTGACTAGAATATGGGTAAAGAAGGTCCCTAGCCTGGGCCTCCCGCATCCCGACTCCTTGGCCGCAGCTCACATGATTGAAACTTGTATTGTCACGCTTTTCTTTCAGAGGCCCGAGCTGGATCAGGCCGGACCAGTCTTCTCGGTTGCTGCCCTGAATGGGGCCTCCATGTTGACGAGCAACGGATCGGTCCCTTTGTTCACCTGGTCCTTGGAGCTCAGCCTCAGAAAGCGCACCTGTAGCTGCTGTACGGCCTTGGCTCTGCTACTCGTGTGCAATGGAAGCCCTCTGTGCGTCCGTGGGCCGCCAGCCTTTTCATTCTTGGCTTTGGTTCTGGCCAGGGGAGCAGCCGTATCGCGTGCCCTAGCAAGTGTTTGCCAAGATGGCTTGCTCACATGTGCCTCTCCGATGAGCCTTGTCTTTTGGAACTGCATGTGGGGTTTCTGGAGCGAGGGAGGGGAAGCCTTGCGCCACATTGGAAGGAGCACTTTCAATCTTGGCAGCCATGTGTACTATAGAGGTCGGAGTAATTGCTCATAATATTCCCTTAGGGTCCCTTTAGAGTTAGACTATAATAACCCCCAAAACCCTATTCTAATTATTCAGGCCCCTATATTACGAATATCTCTGGAGGGTATGCGGTCAAGAAGCTCGGCGCAGCATTGCAGCAAAACGTCCTTGCCAACTTCACGGTGCTGCTCATGGTCGCGCACTCAGGGGCCTGGCCTCACGAAGAAGTGACTCTGCTCCAGATACTGGGTATCCTACTGCTGCTTGGAGGTTCATGGGCACTTATAAAACCCCAATTATAGCTGTACTACTTAGCTGTACCTATAACCTACTTAGGGGACTGAGGGGGCTTATAAGTACAGATATCATTGGGGTTATACGTACCCTGAACCCTCCAAGCGGCATGCGGCACATTCTTGCAGAAGCTCAGAGGCGATCGAATCAAGAGAAGCTGTCCAAGCTCGGCAACGAGCGAAGCCGAATCTCTCAACCCCAGCAGCAAGGGTTAGCCAGGGTGGCCCTTGGGATAGATTATGCTGTCCCTTATTGGGTTTAAGAGGATCCTATTTCGGAATCTTTTTGGGATAGATTATGCTGTCCCTTATTGGGTTTAAGAGGATCCTATTTCGGAATCTTTTTGAGAGGGTTCTAAGGGCCGTCCTCCCGCGAAGGGCGGGATGCAAGATGTCGGATCCCCCCTCCCCCCCCCTTCCCTCCGTGCACCCCGGCCGTTGCCTTTGTGCTTTATGGCCCGGCCTTGTACTCTCTCGCAAGCAGTAGGTTTTCTGTCGTTTTGCGCTGCCCTCAGAAGTAGGCATGGCGTACAGACCCCCCCCCCCGGGTGTTCCGGAGCGCAGGAAGCACGCAGGACCTTGGACTTCCAAACAACAAGTGGGGGCTGCTGATTTAAGTTCAAGCCCTTTTGATACCCCCTGCACATATATACTTTTTTTATGTATTTATTCATATATTATCCTTTATTATCCAGGGGCATGCCTTGTGAGAGGTACGCTTTACCTTCGAAACCTACCAAGAAATGCACCGGTGCGCATCCCAGCATGCCTCAATCCTCAAGCCGGCTTCTTGTTGAGGAGGAGGTGGCATCCGCCTTGGGCCAGGTGCCTGCAGCTGCCAAGCTGTTTTAGCACTTCCCGGCTTCGGCTTTTCAGGGTTGTAAAGAGTTTGGCGAGAAGGGTGGCGCCCGAAATGTGTCCTGGTGACAAGAATAAGGAGAAGTTGAGATCTTCATGCAAGATGCGCCCGAAGCTCCAAACCCTGAGTCATGGCAGCCATTTGGCCACGACAGCCGCGAGATGCACCCCGCCACAAAAGCAGACTCATCCGGGCACCCCCAGGCAAGATTCACAAGCCATGAAGGTGCTGTAGTTCAGCAGGCATGGGTAATGCCCGCAATGGGTTTGTTCCAAGCGTTGGCACCTTGGACTGAGAGCCTAATTCTTTTCAACGATAGGCAGCCGAAAACAAGAGACTCTAGCAGAGAACACTGCCTAACACGATCCACTTCGGGGAGTTGGAGGCAAACTAAGTGGAAATGTGCATCTGCCATGGCACGGCTTCAAGAATGCTGCGATGGCTTAGTCCCCTTGTGGCAGCTTCCTTCGCAGGCCATTGCGGGGAAGGGCCGCGGCCACCGGTTGCCGAGACCCTGGTACGGGAGCTCTTTCGCGGAATCGATCCCATGTTGGAGCCCGTTCCAGATTTCAAGGCCAGCAAGTAGCCATGAAGCTTCTTCGAACCCCCTACATAATCGTAGAAGGTTACCCTCCAATCCTTTCAGTTCGCGTAGGAAACTGGACAAGTAGGAGGAGCGCATCTACCCCGAGATTACTGGCGTGACGGACGGAGACATCGACATGGTCCTGATGTCCGCAGCCCAACCCGTGACCTTCTGGTTGGAGCTGGGCTCATTGGAGGCAGAGACCGAGGGTGTCTACCCTTCGCAGGCTTAAGGCTTGAGGTAAGCCCTAAGCCCGAAATAAGACCCGAAACCTTTGCTTGGCCTCATTCACCGTGGCATTTTGGCTTGTCACCCTTTGCCCCAGTAAGCAGGGTGGGTGGGTTGTTCTAAACGATTTGACGGGCCCCCTCGTATAGCCAAGTCATATTTTGGGGGGCCCGCAAACCTTCTGCTCATGGCAGTTGCAGCCCCACACATGGGATTCTAAACTCTAAACCTTAAGCCTAAACCCCCTAAACCCAAACCCTAAACCATGGCCCCTCCACTCTCAGCTAGGGGTTCCTGCGGCGGAGGGGGGGGGGGGGGGGGGGGGGGGGGGGGGTTCCCATTAAACTGTGAGCTTGTCCGTCTCCTTATGCTGCTTGTATTTTTCCTCTTTAAAATCCCCAGGGAGTTGAGGCCATAAGTCCTCATGTTGTTGTGGCTTGAGGCCCTAGCTGCGGGTGCATTTGTTGGTTCGTTTGGTCCACAGCGGGAGCCATAGCTTGGATAAATCCTCATGCGGGGAAGTGATGAAGGGTCACTAAGGGCCTTCCACTCCGCTCTCCCCCAAACCCCAACCCTGATCCCCTTAAACCCCGATGAACCCGGATGGACCCGACACCCTCAACCGTATGCCCCAAACCAAAGGAACACCAAGAGACCCCAGGCCATGAACTCCCCCACATGGAGGATCCAGCACTTAGGAAAGTCGTGATCAAGTGGGTTGTTAAGCAAGCCCGATGAGGGTCCCTTGTCAGGTGTTCACTCTACTTGCTACCTTCTGAAACCCTAAACCCCAAACCCCAAACCCCAAACCCTAAACCCTAAACCCTACTTACCAAGTCCAAGCAAGGGCGGATCTGCCATCGTCACCGCGCGGCGCGTGGCTGCGCATGGCTTGAACGTGTCGGTCATAGCAGCCGACACGCTCTTCGTCATTTTCTTGGGGTTTGAGGGGGGGGTTTAGGGTTTAGGTTTTAGGGTTTAGGGTTTAGGGTTTAGGGTTCAGGACACGCTCTTCTAGTATTTGCCTAAGAGCCCCCAGAAAACAAAAAACTAAAATCCCCATATCGCCCTTGTAGGGACGATTGTGATTTTTGGGGTTCTTAATCAATTAGTAGTCTTCGTCACCCCCCTCGGGGTTTTCGGGGTAAAGTTTAGGGTTCTGGGTTTACTACAGTTGCCTTGAGAACTCTGTATTTACACTTTTGTTAATAAAACCAAAGGGCTACTTCAAGCACTTTTTTCTGGTTCTCAGGGACCTCAACTCTAAACCCGAAACTCCAAACCCTACCCTAAACCCTAAAATCCTGTCTACAAGGGTTTTGGGTTCTGGGCATGTGTTGTTTCGGCTTAGCTCGAAGACGAGGTTCTTGGCCGACGTGAACTTCCTCTGGACACGGCCAGAGAGTGCGCCTTATTTGCGTTTTTGAAAGCTTCTGCGGTTTGGGGTTCAGGCTTTAGGACTTAGGGTCTTCGGTTTTAGGGCAAAGCTTCCGGGCTCAGGATTTTGGGTGTCAACCCTGACATAGCCTCAGAACACTGTGAGAGGGCGGGGATTAGTGTATGCCAAGTGAGATGTTACGTAGGGTGCAACGAAGGGGGGGGGGGCTTGAAAAAAGGAATGCCCGGATGGGTTGAGTCTAGAGTTCAACCCTTAAACGCAAGCCACTGAACTTTGAGCCCTTTAAGTGCGCGATTGAAGGCTCAGAGGGATACATTTCAGTCGGGTTTCCTATAGCCCAATGAAGGGTACATGAGTTTAGGGTTTAGGGTTTAGGGTTTAGGGTTTTGGGTTTAGGGTTTAAGGGCTTTGGGAGCTGCACGTGCCTCATGATGTTGGGTTCCGAGCCTCTTGTTCGGCGTCGAGGGCTGTAGCATGAAAAGCCCTATGCTCTTGATTCATGGGCCCAAGCCTACTAATCGTCCCCGTGACAGAGGCCTTCCATGGGCTACCCCGTTCATAAGTTACAAAACCTACCCACTTTCAACTAGGTCGCACTTCCCCCCCTCACCCCTCACCCTAAACCCTAGCCCTAAACCCTAAACCCTCAACTCTGAGATGATGGTCAGGAGAAGCAGAAGTTCATACGCAGAGACGGAAGCGTGTTCCTCTACGACCGCTTCCGGGCGAACATCCGAAGCGCCGATCTGCACAGGTGGGTGGCATCCAATTAGGGTTTAGGGTTTAGGGTTTAGGGTTTCGGGTTTAGGGTTTAGGGTTTAGGGGGTCTGGCCAGCCCTAAAGCCTAGGCGCTTGGGATGCTTTGGTATATTTCCCTTCTTGGGATTTAGGAGGATCAGGTCTAGGAATCATTTTTCCGAAGGATTTAGGGTTTAGGGTTTAGGGTTTAGGGTTTCGGGTTTAGGGTTTAGGGGTTCAGGGCCGACCTAGAAGCCTAAACCCTCACGGCCCTCAGGGGCACCGCCAAAGCAAGATCACCGTCTTTTGACCCCCTGAACCCTAAACCCTAAACCCTAAACCCTAAACCTCAAGTTTCAGGGCTCAGCGTTTAGCCCGCGCAAAGAAGGAGTCTTTTCTGCCCAAGGCTACTTCGCAGGAACCCCCCTGAACCCCGACGCATGGGCCTCCTTGGCTACTTGGGCATCCCAAAACTGTAGAGGCCGCAGCCCTGAACCCAACACTTAACCCTAAACCCTAAGCCGCAAACCCTAAACCCTAAACCTCAAACCCTCAAACCCTCCTAAACCCTAAACCCTAAACCCTAGACCCTAAACCCTAAACCCTAAACCCTAAACCCTAAACCCTAAACCCTAAACCCTAAACCCTAAACAAACCACCCTGAGAGGTGCGTGCTGCCCATGCTGGCCACGTCGGTGTCGGCGCTGAAGCTCGTTGCCACCCTGGCCCGTCAGCAGGTTCTCCCGCTGCCGCAGGTCATCTACCTGGATTCCGGCCACCATGAGGGGGAGGCGTTTTAGGGTTTAGGGTTTAGGGTTTAGGGTTTAGGGTTTAGGGTTTGGGGCAGCCCAAGCCCCCAATTTTCCGGAGCCGAAGCCTCAGGCCCGAAGAAAGGCGGGGCCTACAAAACCGGGCTTAGGGTGCGGGGTGATCCTTTGGGCTTGCGCTTCCGGCGTTGGGATGTTCCCTCTTCTTGCGTGTATTGTTTCAAGGGTTTTTCGGGTTACGCATAGGGGTTTAGAGTTGAGGGTTGGAAGAAGCTTCAATGCTGCCTACCAAGGCTTCGGGTTTCAGGCTTACGGTGCGTTGCTCTTCGGGTTTGGGCTTTAGGGCTCCCGCAAATATCAACAACCACCGCCTGTCCCCCGCGTCATAGGCACGGTATAAGGGGAAGGGTCCAGTCTTGGAGAACCCTAAACCCTAAACCCTAAACCTTAAACCCTAAACCCTAAACAGTCCCGAAAGCCTCTCCAGGTCTTGTTGGAACTACGCCTCGCTTGGCAAGCGCTTGCGCCGGGCGGCATTCTGTTTGGCGACGACTGGTCTTTCCCAGACGTCCACCAGGATGTCCGCGGAATGCCTTGCCTGTGCCCCAATCCATCTTACAGTGACGAGGGCCCCCTGAAAGCCGAGTGCCCAGCCTTCTTATACAGAGCTTCAATGGCTCCTAGAGAGGGGGCACCTCTAGCGTTGCTGGCCCTGCACTGGGGTAAAAATGCAAGTGCCACTGCGCGAATTCTAGCTGCGTGTCGCCCTCTGAAAGGACCTCGACCCAAAACAGGGTCCCTTTGCATGTCCATTTTTCGCGATGGGGGGGAGGGAGGCAAGAGCCGAAGAGAAGGGCGTGTACGCAGGATCCGATTGCGGAAGTTACTTCGGGGGGGGGGGGGGGGGGGGGGAAGCGTTCCTACTTGTAACTTCTAACCCGAAGCCCCTAAACCCCTAAAGCCCGAGCAGCGCCCCACTTCAGGATGTGCTGGAATTCGCCACGGAGGTTGAGGCTGACTTGGACGATCAGCTGGGGGCGCAGGCCTGGGGGGCCTGAGTCCCCAAAAATCCTAAAACAACACCTGGAGGGCCCCACAACCCGAACTACCAAACCCGTGCAGCCCTAGAACCCCCTCTCGTGTGAGCAGTTCGCCCCAAAAGTTGATCTAAGCCATGGCCCATTCTGCCATTACTACCTTGAAAGCATGACAAGATTCCCCGACAAAGCCAGATCCAAAAAGGGTTCTGGGTTCCACCCCCCCCCCCTCAAAGTCCGTGAGCAGGTCCAAGATCGCGGCTTGCACACCATGAGTCGCTCGGTAGCCCGGTGGTACCCCGTTACCCCTTTTTGTTATTGGTCTTTGTGTTCCCTTAGAAAGTAGCCGACCCAAAAAAGAGGTGCCCCCTACCCTTCTTGGGGGGGTTCTGGGCTCCCTTATGAAGTAGCCAACCCAAGGAAGGGTGCCCTTTACCCTTTGTTTGGGGTTCTGGGTTCCCTTACAAAGTAGCCAACCCAAAGAATAAGGGTGCTCTTACCATAAGATGGTTGCTGGGCTGCTAAGGTCGGGTGGCGCCCGGCGTGCATCTTGGCTTGGCTTTCAGCGCGGGTTGAGAGTCGCGGCCCTATAAACCCATAAGCCCTAAACCCTAAACCCATTAAGACCTTAAACCCTAAACCCTTTAAGACCTTAAACCCTAAACCTTTTTAGGGAACCCTTCCGCGCCCAATCACCTGGTGCTTTGCTAGAGGAGTGGAATCCTGGCATTTCCTCTCATGTGCTCCCAACAGACTCGTGGTACTACTCAGCTTCCTTACTCCCCCCTTGACCACCAGTTAGCCTTTGCCATGAGCACTTCAACCTACCAAACACTGAATCCTAAAGACCCTAAACCCCAACACCTAAAACCCCTACAGAAAAACCTGACGCGAAACCCACAACGAACCGGAAGGTGCGTCCTGATCTCCCATTTCCCCGAGTATAGACATATATATATATACACACACACACCTCACATAGTCCCAATTTCCTAAGTAGGCCCTAAAGGTCCCTTATAAGGGTCCCTCCTTTAGACCCTTTTCGCCGAGGTTTAGGGTTTAGGGTCTCCCTGATCCCCCAGGTTTGTGTCCTACCAGAGCCTCAGCTACCAGTGGTTCATGCGAAAGAGTTTCGCAGCCACGGGTACGAAGGCAGCGAAGGCTCGGCCTGCCCCCAAATTCCCGAAGTTTGGGGTTAAGGGTTTAGGGTTTAGGGCGGAGCCATACTTGGAGGTTCAGGGGCAGTTAAAGGTTGGGCTTTCATGCAACCCTAAACCCTCCACCCTAAACCTTCAACCCCAAGCCCTAAACCCTGAACCCTGAACCCTGAACCCTGAGGCCAAGGCCCGCGTGAAGGGCGGCGCCCACTGCTGGACGTCGGGCTTTGGACCCGAGCGGTGCTGCAACGAAGCGAAGCACGGACCAGGCGGAAGATCTTATGAGTTCTATTATCGGGGTTCAGGGTTTAGGGTTTAGGGTTTAGGGTTTAACCCTAAACCCTCAACCCCTTCAGGCATTTGCAGGAGGGTTTGCTTTCAGCTTGCTTTTCGTCTTTGGTGCCAGCCAGTGCCAGAGAGCTTTTGGCCTAATGTGCAGTATTCCCTTTGGCCCCTATATGGTTCTACTATAATGACCCCTAAAACCTATTAAAATTCTTAAGGCCCCTATATTACTTACTTCGCCAGCAATTGAACGTTTAACTGTTGGGTTTCCTTGAGCAGGAATAAAAAAGTTGAACCGTGGCTATTTCCTTGGTTATTGGAGAAGTAAGATTGTTGTTTTATGTTATTGCTAATTTATTCTCGTGAAGTGCTTGCTTATACTCATCAATATGTGTAATATGTTGAGTATTGTGTTCTCTTATGACCAGAGGCAGAAATCCGTCATAACAGAGGACAGCCGACCAGTTTCTGCCCACCAAGACCCCCCCCCCACCCATCTTGGAAGAAAGCAAGAGAAGACACTATGAAAGCTCAGAGGTTGGCGTCCGGGCGCTCCTGGCCTTAATCCTTACACCCCATACACCTCAAACCCCCGAGCTTCGGGTTCAGGGCACCCTTCGCCCCAATGGAGTCAATCATAAGCAAAAGCTAGAGACCCAAGAAACACCCTAAGCCCTAAACCCTAAACCCTAAACCCTCCGGTGGAAGCATTGCCCCGTAGGTCCAGGTGGCAACAGGTTAGACGGTCAGGGCTTAAGGTTTGGGGGGGGGGGGGGAACGTTTCTTGAGCGGCTGCGAAGCAGCCGAAAATGGAGCTAGCACGGCAAAGAAGCCATACTCCGGTTGATGCGACCCTGAAGCTTAAAGTTCCAGAAGCAGCAAACCCAAGGAAGGCTCTACTCCATGCCCAGCTCGCTAGCGTTTGAGGTCTGATTTCTTTTGGCTGGGGAACCTTCTGTCCGATAGCAGGCACCCCCACCCCACCCCTTAGGGTTTAGGGTTTAGGGTTTAGGGTATTCCAGAGCTGTCCCCTTGGCAAAGCGCCCCCAGGTGGCAACAAAGAGTGCTGGGACCTGGTCTATACCTTTGAGAAGTGCTGCACATAGGCTTACGGTTCAGGGCTTAGGGTTTAGGGCTTACGGTTTAGGGCTTCGGGCTTAAGGACGACCACTGATCACTCCAAGGTAGGACCGTGGGACATTTCATATCTTGCAGTTATTGATTTGGAGGAAAATGTTTAGGAATACTTCTGAATGGGTTCTAAGGGCCAACCTCGTGACCATACTTGGAACGCCTTTGGGCGCATGAAGACGGGGAGCAGGGGGCCGCGGCTTCTCAGGATCCGATGTGCGAGCTTCTCTCATGCTACCCTACACCCGAAATCCTGCTCTAGGACCCGGAGTAGGCCCTTGTTTCCTTTTTTTTAGGGTTGGGGTCCCTTATAGTAGCCTTAAAACCAATAAGGGTACCCTTCCTTTTTTGCTTGGTTTCTCATGGGTCTAGTGTTTCAAGCCGAGGTCCATAAATCCGAAGCCCCAAGTTGTAAGCCCGAGGCCCGCAGCCCCAAAACGGTTTCGGAGCTCTTCAGCTTCGCGCTGCACTCGGGCACTAAGGGCTCTGCAACCGGGAAAAGAAGCGCCTGCTTGCCTAATGTTAGGGTATCGGGGCTTGAGGATTTGAGTCCTGCACCAAGGTTAAGGTTAGACCTACATGGGGCCGAGTTCAAGGTTGCTTGCCTTTGTGCGTGTGAGGGAGGGGAGCTTCGCCTTTTGTTGCGTGGCTGAGCGCACGGAGAGCCCCCAAACCCACGTAAACCCCTGCATACAGATTCATGGGGTAGCTATGACCGGTGTGGGGTTGGGCTCAGGGTTAAGGGCTGGGGTTTAGGGTTTAGGGTCTACGGCTCTAGGGGCTTAAGGTTTAGGGTTTAAGGTTTGGGTTTAGGGTTTAGGGTTTAGGGTTTAGGGTTTAGGGTTTAGGGTTTAGGGTTTAGGGTTTAGGGTTTAGGGCTCCTGTTCTGCTTCAGAGTGAAGGCCGCGTGCAGTAGGGGATTGTGAGCTGACCCAAAGTTGGGGGTTATACTGCCCGTGAACCTCCAAAACAAAAGCCAAACCCGGGTTTAGGGTTGGGAGTCTGGGGTTTGGGGTTTGTGGTGGGGTTTGGGGGGTTTGGGGTGTAGGGTTTGCCCCTTAGTATCCTGGGTAGCCCTTTCTGACATTGTTTAAGTCTTCCTTTCTGGGCTTCATCGGGGACCATACTTAGGAATACTTTGCCAGAGAGGTTTAAGGAGCCATCCACCCTAAACGCCCAACCCTACTCCTTAAACCCCAAACCCTGAACCTAAACCCTAAACCCTAAACCCTGCACCTAAACCCTCAACCCTGAACCCTGAACCTTAAACCCCCTCCCAGCATACACCACGACCCTACTCCTTAAAACCCCAAACCCTAACCCTCAACCCTGAAACCTAAACCCCCTCCCAGAATACACCACGACCTCAATGAACCTGCAAGTTCGAATGTGTCAGCTTGGCGTCCACGGTGAGCTCAGTCTTGCCCCGAGCTCAGCTTAGGGTTTAGGGTTTAGGGTTTAGGGTTTAGGGTTTAGGGTTTAGGGTTTAGGGTTTAGGGTTTAGGGTTTAGGGTTTAGGAAATCCCCTTCAAGGACTTGGTAGCCCTAAACCCTAAACCCTTTACCCTTTTGCTTGTAGTTCTCGGTTCCCTTAGCAACTATAGGGTTTATTCGGAATTATAGGGAATTGTGGTTTTGTGAGGTTTGCAGGGAGTCATAGGGTTTAGAGGAAACCATAGGGAATCAAAGAGCTTATAGGGAATTATCGGGTTTACGGGGCTTTTAGGGTTGCAGCGGCTTCTAGGGCGGTATAGGGCGTTGGAGGTTGTAAGGTTCTGTGTGATGCGTGGTTTAGCTTGTTTGTGGGCAGGAGGTTCTAGGGACTAGGGGTTTCGGGTTCAGCGTTTTGGGCTGTAGGCTTGAGGGTTTACTGTTTTGCACTTAGGCCTAAACCCTAAACCCTACATCCTAAAACCTTGAACCCCAGGCGGAGACGCACGTCGGTGGCCGAATTGCGGCCTGCTCGCACTTCAATGGGCTTTGCTTCCCTGGAACTGTTTGGACGTCTGTGTGCAGAGTTACGGGGTTTTGGAGGTCTGGACTCTGGGATTTAGGGTTGAGCCTGAGACGCTAAACCCTAAACCCTAACCCCTAACCCCTACTCCCTAACCCCTAAACCCTACCCAAGGGCAGGGTGTTTGTGGAGTCCCCGTCGCCTCGTGCAGGCGTTCCTGCGCTTCGCCTCGTCAGAGGCGGGCTGAGTCCGCGCGAAGATTCTGCGCACATTTGCTACTTAACCCCAAAAAAGAGATTACTACTTCCCCCCCCCCCCAAAAAAAAAACGAGAAAACAAAATTATCCATGTATTGCCCTTGCAAGGAAGAACATGCATTTGCTTTTTGGGGGGGTTCTTAAGCAAATAGTAGCTTAGATGCTTGATACCCCAGTGGTACCCTTTACCCTTCTTTGCGGTGCTGGGTTCCCCTGTAAAGTGCCCAACCCTAAGAAGGGTGCCCTAATGATAACATGATTACTGGGCTTCCAAGACATTTAGGTGTGCATATGTACCGAAATACTTCAGAGCATGTGACGCATCACATGGTCTCTGTCTTTCCTCGTGGACTAAGAACTAGGGTCATGCAAAGCTACGAGTTATCAGCAGCTTCAAGCGGTAAGCTTGAAACACACTTACGTTTGGAAAATGGGGAACGAGCCGGCCACACGAAACGAAGCGGTCGTCAAATTGTTGCTCGGAAAGCGTGCACACATGTCCCTCCTTGATACATAGTCGAGGGTGTAGAGGCTCCTGCAAATGTATGTATTCACCTTTAAGCGCGCGAATAGAAGGGTCTTCGGGTTCAGTTCAGACAGTCGATGAGGCAGGTTCTTTACTGAAGCACTTGCGGTCTTCATTATTGCGCAATGATGACCTGAAACCCCAGTCAGCGAAATCTCGCACAGCATAACCCCTTCCCCACCACATAGTCTTGGATACGCTCGGGCTTCCTATACGAGGAGGACCCAAGCCTCAAAACCCAGACGCCTTGGGTCAGGGATAGGGAAGTGGAATCATTCAGAAACCCCCTCAAAACCCCAAAGCCCAGCCTAAACCCTCTAAACCCGATCCCTAAATCCTTCAACACCGTAGAAGTCGTGAGATTTTTGGGGGCTCTCTCCGAAAGGAAGCGAGCCAGGCGCGCTTTGGCCTCAGCTTCTGTGTATTCGGCGTTTTTGTTTTTGGGGGATGTCTTTTTGGGTTTGTAGAGGGTTTCGGGGATTTGGGTCAGGGCGTTTCGGGTTAGGGCTTTAGGGCTTTCGGGGTGATTAGGGTTTCTCCAAGCCAATTCAGGAGGGTGCTTGATGGGGCGAGCCCTCTGGGTCATGAATGGAGATGGTCCAAGGAGCTGCTCCGCGGCTAGTAGTCTTGCAGCAACATGCGCCCTTTTACTGGGTAGCCCAGTGGTACCTGTTTCCCTTTCTTGGTTCAAGGGTCTCTTGAAGTCTCTTATAAAGTAGCCAACCCAAAAAAGGGTACCCTTACTACGATAAGAACCCCTCCCAAAAACACAAACAAGAATAAAGAAAGAACATTCATTTTTTCTTCGTCTCTTTCTTTGTTGGGGGGGGGGTCCTTAAGCAAATAGTAGCCCAAAACCTGAAAACCTAATGATCCTAATGTGGGTTGTGTCCCTTAAAACCACCACCAACCCCCCTAAACACCCCTTCAATCTCCCCCACCCCAAATCCTAAACCCCAAACCCTCAACCCCAAACCCTAAACCCTAAAACCCTAAACCCTAAACCCTAAACCCTAAACCCTAAACCCTAAACCCTAAACCCTAAACCCTAAACCCTAAACCCTAAACCCTAAACCCTAAACCCTAAACCCTAAACCCTAAACCCTAAACCCTAAACCCTAAACCCTAACCCTAAAACCCTAAACCCTAAACCCTAAACCCTAAACCCTAAACCCCAACCCTAAACCCTACCCTCGCCCTAAAACCCAGTTCCCGGCTTCCCCAAGGCGATGCCATCAACCTGGGTAGCTTGCGGCTGGGGCCTTTTCGAGGAAGGGCATTTTAGGGGGTGTAGGCTTTAGGGTTTAGGGTTTAGGGTTCAGCAGCTTGGGATCGACCAGTGTTATAGTAAAGTTAGACTTCCGCTTCTGATATAGCACCCGCCCACCCAGAGAATCCCATCACTTGCAGAAAAAAAACAAGATTACTCCAACCACACAACGTTCTACAGCTGCAAGTTGCTCATAGCTCAGACACTGTCGCCTGGGGATTCGGGTTCAAGGTCTTGGGGGGGGAGGGGGGGGGGTTTTGGGTTTATAGGCTTAGCGTTCAAGGCTTTGGGAGGGGGTGTGGGTTTAGGGTTCCAGGCGTTCGCGGGGGGGGGGGTAGGGTTTAGGGTTTCGGGTTTCGGGTTTCGGGGTTTTTGGGGGGCTGAGGCTTACGGCTGGAACTCCAGGTTGAAGGGCTTAAGGAGGTTTCAGGAGGCTTAACGCCGGGGTGTTGGGCAGTTTAAAGGGGGCTTAGTGGGTTTCAAAGGTTATTAAGAAGTTTCCCCTAAACCCGAAAACCCTAAACCTGAAACCCCAAAACCCTAAACCCTAAGCCCCTAAACCCTAAACCCTCAACCAATATGGCGTTTTGTGGCCGAGGCTCGGCGGACAACGCCCCGTTCTGGCTGGCTGGGCCCCGGAACTCAGAGCGTAGACTATTTCTGAGAAGTTCCGAGGGCTTCTTGCAAGACCCTTTGTTCGACGATTCTGCTAAGGTGGGTGTAGGGTTTAGGGCTTAGGGTGTGGGAGTTGAGGTGCAGTTCCACAGCGGGGGCCCTGAAACCGCTTGCTGGTGGGTTGCGCTGTTGGAGATTCATGGGTGCTAAAAGGTAGGGTTATAAGTAAGGTATCTATGGTTGCACCCGTATGTAGGGCACCTACAACTATAACCCCTAACCACACCCTAATCCCCTTGTCCGGAGCTGCAACACGAGTTATAGTTACAGTTATAGCTATAGCTATAGTTATAGTTGCAGGTGCCCTACATACGGGTACTACCATAGATACCTTACTTATAACCGGTTGAGGTCGCTCAAACTCCGGCCCCAAGTATCTGTGTACGCAGACTAGGGCTGAGCCTTTCAGACTTCCGGTACAACTGAAGAGGCCTAAACCACCTGAACCCAGGATAGTCCCGCTAAGAGGGCACGTGCTGAGAGTTAGCTGCTACAGCTGCGCTCTCGCGGGAGGCACGGCGTGACCGCTGGCTGAGCTGAGCCGAAATGAGAAAAGGGATTGGAGCTGCTGGCGTAGACCGGAAACCCTGAACCCCAAACCCTCAGAGCCTCAAGCTTAAACCCCCAAGCCTAAAACCTCAAGCCCAAACCCTCAACCGAACGCCCCTCAGCCCTTAAGCCCTCAGCCCCAGAAGCCCCAGAAGCCCCTAAGCCCAATGAGGGCTTGGGGGGCTTATTGCTTCTGCTTCAGGGTCAAGAATTTTAGAACTTCGGTTGTGGGTTTTGACGTTGTGGGATTCCGGCGAACCCTTCAAGATGTGAGCTGGCATATGCCAAAGGAAAGGGCCTTGCTTCGAGGCCAAGGGGCGCTTGAGGATTTTTGGGGTTCCCCCTCAACCCCCTCAACCCTAAACCCTAAACCCTAAACCCTAAACCCTAAACCCTAAACCCTAAACCCTAGACCCTAGACCCTAGACCCTAAACCCTAAACCCTAAACCCTGAACCCTGAACCCTAAACCCTAAACCCTGAACCCTACACGATCTCAAGGCCCCCACTGGAACTTGCTGTAGGTTGCAGTCCCCTCTTACAATCCTCCCAAGTGGCCTCACATCCCCGCAACTCACCTGAGATCCTTCTGGAGGGGGTTAATATTCCCTCAGCCCACTTAAGACCGACAAGGGGGGCACATACCCTTCCTAGGTTACTCTAGTTTGGGCCGCGACCTTTGCACCTGCAAGTCCTTGAGGCTTCAGACCTCTAGGGTTTAGGGTTTAGGGTCACAAGAAGCTCATTCGAGAACCCCTCCCAAAAAAAGAGTTATAAATATATATATATATATATATATACATATATATATATATGGTAAAGAAAAGAAGAGGAAGGAAAGGCCCTACTTTGCTGTAAGGTCTGCGTAGTTACCGGCCGAGGAGTTCATCCTCACAGGCTCCCTCAAGCCTTGAGAGCTTGGGATGTTCCCCCTTGTACCTAACAGTCCGGAGAAGGAGGATAGTACCTCCCAATTATCATCCCTGTTAAGGACCGTTAGTCTTAGGGGGGGGCATTGCAACTTTAAACCCGAAAGTCCAAGCCCTAAACCCTGAACCCCTAAACCCTGAACCCTACGCTCCTCGTGGGTTCCCTCAAGCCCTTAAAAGCCCTAAGCCTCCCGAAGCATCCCAAAAAATAATTCTCCCCGGCGACAGCATTAGCATCTCCTCAAGGGAGAGCTTTCTGTGCGTTGGCCGAAACCAGGCCTGTATAAACCCTCTAAACCCTATGAGCAGCATAGACCCTATACATACTATAAACCTCAACCCTATAACAGTCGCAACCCAACAAAAACTATAAACCTCAACCCTCGAAACCCTATCAACCCTACACTTCTGCAGACCCGGCACCTCCGAGCATCGACAGTGCCAAAAGCGCCCATGGTGGCGGGCGCCGGGCGCAGTTTGGCCATGCAGCTCCGTGCCTAGAGGCCCATGGGTTTAGGATCTAGGGTCTAGGGTTTAGGGTTTAGGGTTTAGGGGGGCCCTTGAAGCTCAGGATTTGTAGGATGTTCTAGGTGTGCCCCTGCTGGGATATTTTCTATTCGCCCTTCGTGGGTTTAGGAGGCTCCCGTCGAGGAGTGTTCCTTCAGAGGGCGTAAAGGGCCATCCTACTTTAGGTCTTTAGGGGTCTTGAGGGTTTAGGGGTGTTTGAGGATTTTGGGCTTAGGAGCCCGCCTCCGCGAAGGCTTGGAGAAGTGAAGGGGCCCTGAGGTCTGGCTTTTGCTGACCTAAATGGCTTGTTTCTCTAAACACCCTTAGAGAATAAGGACCCAAAAAAGGGGCCCGAATTTCGAGAACTACCCTACATGCCAACAAGTGCTGCCCAGTACTACCCTTATTCCCTTTTTGGGGGGTTTAGGTTCCCTTATAAACCCCTTTAGGCAAAAAAGGGCACCCTTTTTAAGCCTAGCTTCAAGCCCGAAGTTCTCGCAGAGGACATGACCGACTACGCGCAGGGCTATGCAGGTCGCGGAGGGGAGAAGGGGCGGGGAGCGAGGGAGGAAAAACCTAACCACTTCTGAAGCTTCTTGAATCCTTAGCCCTAAGCCCTAAACCCTGACACGCTTGGGTTGAGCTTTTCGGGTTTGAAAAGGGGGGGGGGGGCGCGGGAGGGAGAGGGGGTGGGGAAACTCCCCAAGCTCTGCGCAAGACTTCAGGCGAAGTTCACAGCTCGGCCTAAGTTCAGGGTTGAGGATCCCGTGGGCTTGGGTGTTGAAGAGTCTTAGAGGTTTGGGAAGTCAGGGAGTTGCGGGGTTTGGGAGTTTTTGTGCTCTGAGTGTTGCGTCTGGGACAACTGCAGGTTGGGTAGCTTCCCCCATCTACTCCCTTACCGAACCCTTCCTTTCAACCTTAGTACCTTAGCGCACACCACAAGCCTCAGTCTTGTAAACCTGAGTACCTTCACTTGATTCAAGTGTACTTAGAACCCCAGTTATATCTGAACATAAAGGCTCCCCTAAGTAGGGTACAAGAGCAGTTTGAAATGGGCTTATGCGTACCCTTGAACCTCCAAATAGGGAAGAGATTTTTTGTAAAGACCTACCTGGAAAAGACTGCCCTGAATTTGAGCCCCTGGCCGGCTAACGCTCCTATGTTCAGGTGCCTCTGCTTGCAGCGCGTTGCTGTCCTTCCTCCTGACGCTGTGCGGGTTCGTGGTTTGGGCCCTGGTTGATTTTATGCCCGAAGCCCTGAATTGGAGGCGCCCTAAACCCTGAACCCTAGACTGCAGGCCCCCCTGCACGCCAAACGGAACCTGAAGACCTTGAGCCCCGAGGGGGGGCGGGGAGAGGGGCGCCCTGATCTTTGCAAGCTTATGGTTTTAGGGTTAAGGGCTTAGGGTTTAGGGGTTGTTGACCTGCACCCTTGCACCGCCGGGTTTGATCCTCATGCATGGGCCCATTGAATGGCACCCTGACGAGCATGGAATAGGGCTTAGGGTTTCGGGTTTAGGGTACAGGCTGCTGGTAGATCAGGCCCAACATTCGAAACCCCTAAACCCTAAACCCTAAACCCTAAACCCAAAACCCAAAACCCAATCTCCTTTCAGAGCTGTTTCTTCACGCTTTAAGCTCAGGATGTTGCAGGAGGGACACGAGTCCGAGGAACCCGGCGTTGGCCCCCCCCCCCCCCCCACCCCGCCCCAAAAATGGGGAATGGGGCCTTCCCATACTATTTAGGGCTTAGGGCTTCGGGCTTAGGGCTTAGGGTTTAGGGTTTAGGGTTTAGGGCTTAGGGCTTAGGGTTAGGGTTCACATTCATGTTAAGGATACCTCTCTTTTTTGGGAAGCGCCCGCATCTCAATGTTTCCACGGCCCTGTGCTGCACCGAGAGCGCAGCTTGAGGCGGCTAAGGACTCTCACTGTTTTTGAAGGGTGCGGGTTTAGGGTTTAGGGTTTAGGGTTTAGGGTTTAGGGTTTACGGGCTCTCAATGTCAAGCACTCAATCTCCACCAGGACATCTTAAGCCATACCTCGTAGGAACCCCAAAACCATCCCTGTTGCCCTCAACCTTACCATCTCGGAGTCCCTTAAACGCCGAAAGCTCCGACAACTAGCCTACACCCAGCAAAAAAACCCTGAAGCCTGCCCCGAAACCCAGCAGAATTCCGAGGTTTCGAGTTTAGGGCTCAGGGGCCCCCCCCCCCCAATCCCTCAACCCTAATCTCTCTAGGGTTTAGGCTTTCGGGTTTAGGGCATGAGGATGTTTGGGACCCCCCAAATCCCTCAACCCTAAACCCTCAACCCTATACCCTAAACCCTAGTCTCTCTAGGGTTTGAAGGCTTTCGGGTCGAGGTGCCGTGGTGGACCGCCACAGAGCCAGCAGAGCTCGCCCCCATCGTGACTGAGGTGGCTTTGGCGCACATTGTTAGCTGATAATATAGGGTTTAGGGTTTAGGTTTAAGGTTTAGGGTTTAGGGTTCAGGGTTTTAGGGTTTTAGGGTTCTAGGGTTTGGGGTTTAGGGTTCCGAAATTAGGGGGGTACCTTATTGGGGTCCTTATTTTCAGGGAATCCTACTACTTGGGTGTCTGAATTTTAGGGTACCCCTAGTGTCGTAAACCCCATATGGGGTTTCTCTATAATGGGGGCACCCCTGTCTCCCCCAACTATAGTAGAATCCCCTTCAAAAAGGACCCCTAGAAGGGTACCCCGAATACTGGCAACCCCCTAGCAGTACTTGCGAATACATAAGATCAGGTACTACGAACTACCCACTCCAATTCATTCTGAGGGCGGGCTTGAAATGCGGGCTTGAGGGCATGGAGCTTGGGGCATTAGGGCCTACTTGTAAACCCTTAAGCCCTATCTCATCCCTGAACACCCCCCCCGTTCTTATCCCTGAACCCCAAACCCTCAACCCCTGCACACCCTGAACCTAAAACCCTAAAGGAAACTGCACCCTAAACAGGTTTCAGGGCGAAAGCTTTGCCGGGTCAGTAAGCTGTGGATGCTATCTAGCAACCCCAAACTCCTAGAACCCTTGTGTTGAAGGTTACGAGCAACAAAGCTTCGGGGCCTCAACCGAACAATCCTGAAGAAACTGCCTCAGAGCACGCCAAGAAAGAGCGAATCACACGACCCCTGCCTGCTCCCTAGAAATACACTTCAGCAAAACAGTCAGCATCCAGACCGGAAGTGCAGAAACCTAAGCCCCAAGCCCTCAAGCCATCTTGCGCAGGACCCTCAACAATCAGCACAAGGGTTTAGGGTTTGGGGATTAAAAACCATCGGATTTAGGGCTCAGCCCTAAGGAGAGAAGCACTCGAAAGCTTTAACCCCCTAGAACCCACACAGGCCACAGAAGCGAGAACTGGAAAGAAAGCAAAGCTCTGCGGAGTGGGTTTACGTCAACAAGGGACTCCCGATATAGACCCCCAAATAGTAGGATCCCCTTGTAATTAGGACCCCAATAAGGTACCCCTAAACCCCAAACCCTAAACCCCAAACCCTAAACCCCAACCCTAAACCCTAAACCCTAAACCCTAAAAC